TTCTGTAGGTGCCCACTTTTAAGTATGGAATGGGTCAAAGCTCCGTCAAGGATGTTCCAGTGCGTGTTTGAGTTGGTACCTGAGATGTACACTTTGGAACAAAGTCTGAGTAACCAGGTGGTTATGCTATTGAGGTTGCTTCAGGAGCTCTGACTACCTATCTTCTTTGTCTTGACAGAGTTCTCAATCACGTTGGCCAAGGTGATATCACAGATAGCGTTTAGATCTAATTCCCCAAGCTTCATCTCCATGTCCTTGTACCTATCACTCGTCGGAGCCAGCGTCGGGTCGAGTAGTACTGGATCATCACGTTTTGTGGTGCCGACAAGCCATTCCATCGACGTTCTCCAGTCGGCTTTGGCGTTGACAGTCACCACGCACTGGAAACGTCCCTCGTCCCTCCGCTTGAGCAGAATGGCTGTCCGCATAGAGACAGGTACACCAGTTTTTGTCCCAGGGTTCTCCAACAGTGTCCAAGACGCACAGTTTGGCTTGCCATAGTTTCGTCCGCGGAGGTCGATTGATCCTGTCACGGCCGCAGCGTAGGTCATCTCTCTTGCGACTTCACGCTCATACTTCAGACCACTTCCTAACTCCACTCCAGCTGCGCCGGCGCCGAGGGTCACGTCGCCTCCAGTAGTTGTTGTCTCTGTCTGTGTAGTCTGGGCAAATCTCAAGTTGCCGTTAGGCGCGATGGCAAAAACATGAGGGTCGGCTACGCCTTTCTCACTGGCAGAGAACCTCAGCTCAATATCGACATGTGCGATGCGCCGCGCTCGCTTTCTCGGGTCAAATCGAAATTCAAGTACCAGTAGAGTACATAAAGTATCACCTTCGGGGTCAAACAGGCCGTGAATAATGTCGATACTAGCGCAGCGAATGTCGACGGCGCCTTTGCGTTCAATGATGTTCTCGCGCTGGTAAGGATCTAACGGATCATTCTGCGTGCGAAATTCATTCCCCTCCTCGCCTTTGGGCGCAAGTGAGATGCCAAAGGAGATATCTTCCTCGGCATCCACATCGTAGTCAGGATCAAGACTCATTTCGTGAGCTTTGACAGCAATAAGAGGTAGGTTGCGAGTAAATGGTAGAGGAGGTTTGTGAACAAACAAATGGAGGGGCATTTGTGACAGCCTGATGTGATACCTGTGAGGTACATGCCCTCAGAAATGGGGTTCTTTGCACCCCTGTCCATATATGGATATCCTTGAGTCTGCTGAGCGGCTAATAAATGACGTGTCTCCTGTAGTCGCAGGCTGCAGTGGGTAAGCAGAGAAGCAAATAAGCAACCAGAGGATCATTGAAATGCAAAATAACAGCCGAGAAAAATACATCCTAAAAAGATCTGATACAAAGAGCGATGACAAAGGTTGCATTCACAACAGACGTCAAAGGCATCGCTAGCGATGACGACGACGAGGACTACGAGAACGATGATTTTGAGGAGGAGCCCGCCAAGATAACCAACCACGATGAGGTTCTTTTCGCCTTTGAGAGCATCACGAATGAGGCTCGGAATATGAAGCTGAACCTGGGCAAGAGAGAAAATCGAGAGAGCTTCTTACAAAAGTATGGGCAATTCCTCTCAAAATCGACAAAAGACTCAAACCAGACACTCCTTCATATGATTGCTAACACGGTGGGACACAAATCGTTGACTCGCTGTGTTATTAAATTCGACAAGACCTTGCTGTACCGAGTGGATGACTCAAGCAAGACTCCTCTGCATATCGCCATTGCCAAAAAGAACCATGCGTTCATCGAAGTGGTCTTGGATGAGAAGAAGGCGATCGATGATGTTGATTCACTGCTCCGCATTACTTGTGAGCACAGGCGGAACTGCATCCATACAGCCATATATCACAACCTCCAACCCCAACATACCATAAAACTGGTCAAACGAGCATCCGAAGAGACACTACGAGCACAAGACCAAAGCGGCCTGACCCCTCTTCATTTGGCTGTCGATTACAAGTATGCATCAGAAGGACAGCTGAAGATTGTCGATGCACTCCTAGCTCATGGGGACAGTGCCTTGGATGAGTATACCAAAGAGCCCCAAAACCTATCCGTATATGAGTACCAAGAACACACACAGCGCCTCTGGCGGAAACAATTCGAAGTACCTGTTTCCGCTCGTGCTGGGGAAAGAAAATTGGACGAATCAAGGGATGAGTTACAGGGACAAGAGAGCGAACACGCCGGATCAAGGCCCAAAGGAGGGCTGGAGCATGTTGGCGGGAGAAGCCGCATCTCTCAACAAGGCAAAGACACCCACGGAGGGCTACATCGAGCGCCTGATAACCCCCATGCACCAAGATCAGAGCAGACCGAAGCACTCGCTTCAAGCCGCACTTCTAATGAAAGTGTAAGCCATACAGCCGTGAATAGAAATCCGCCTATTGAAGCACCCGAGGGCTTCAAGCCTATACAGAGACGGCAAACGGGTATGGAGAACGGTGAAAAGCAGGCCTTGGAAGAGAAACGGAAGAACGAATACGCAGAGAAGATCCGCCAGGCAGTCAAGCTACACTATCTCCGCACTACTCTGACGATCAATTCGAGGCCTGCTAGTAGGGACCAGCTCAAAGCTGTCAAGTTTCTCCATGGCGCGAATCTAAACAGTGAGACGGGATTTGCGATACTTTTGGCAGATGCTAACCGTTGTTTTCAGATATCAACTTGTGTTTCGACTACTCTGAGGCACCACCGGAGATCTACGAGGATTCCTTTAAGCAAAGCTACGACCACATCAACTTCGACCAAGTCCTGCGCTACGTTTCATTCCGAAGAATCGAGCTGCAGAAACCCCCAGTATCAGCTGTGAAGGCAAGGCTAACAAGGAACCGAGCTCAGACGTCAAATAAAGGACGCGGCAGAGATGACTTGACTGTTTTCTTCAACTGGCTCAAGGGGAAGGGAGTCAAGCATATCCTCAAGGTTATGGTGGATGACCTGAAAGACCCATCGCATAGCGATAAAGCACTCGAGGATTGCCTACGGCCTTTCGAGGTGGAGATTCTCGACTGGACGAAAGTTGACTTGTGTCCGGAGACTATCTTAACTGCTTGTCGCAATGTCAGGCAGCTTTATCTTCGATGGAGTGGTAATAGAGCGGTTTTGAGAGCTTGGAGTGAGCCTGATGGACTGGCGAAGCTAGAAAGACTTGAGGCGGTACATTTGGTATACAGTGAGGAGCAGGTACGTGTCATTCTAATATTTTCCGTTATTACGGCACTAACATTGGGCGTTCCATAGGCATTAGAGTCGGCCGATCGAATCACTATGTACGCAAATGACTTCGAGGAGCGGTTAAACGAGTCAGCAGCCGCAAACCCGAACAGATTGCTCGTCAATGACGAAGAAGATCCTGGGGGAGGAAGACGTATACTCGTCTTCAGGTGCAAAGCAGATGTTCCGGGAAGTGAGCGAATTGTCCGAGAGGGAGCATTCGCAAAGGCTCAAAGCGGCATCAATGAGATGAGTCTACAGTCTAACAGGTGGCTGAACTGCATGGACAAGTTCGCCGACGAACTGCAAAACACTTGTTCCGAGTTTGTCAAGCCTCAGAATGGTATCAAGGTCGCCCTTATTGACGATGGCGCTGATCCCTACGTCGAGTCTCTACGGGGTAAGATCTGGGGTGGAGAGACGTTCAGCAGAGGCTTTCCGCACGAGAACGGACCTAGCCCTTACTATAGGTCTACCAAGGGTCATGGAACTGTTATGGCGGATATGATTTGCCGGGTATGTCCGATGGCGAGGTTGTATGTTTACAAGCTTGAGACGCAGACGAGTCTCAACTTGGCGACGCAGACTCATGGCAAGGAATACATTGCTGCAGAAAGCGCGGCATTGGTTAGTATAGATTCAAAAACGACTATATGTACAGTATGACTGACTAGTGGTAGGCTATAAGGGCAGCGATAGACCAAAAGGTGGATATCATCTCAATGTCCTGGACGGTCAAAGAAACAGTCGAGAATAGAGATGGTGTCAACGCGTTCCGGCAAGCCATCAAAGACGCCCTCGACGCGGGAATCCTCCTCTTCTGCGCCGCAGCAGACACAGGCGCCATCACCGAAGTCGAGTACCCATGGTCTTTCGACCGCCAGCGCATCTTCCGCATCGGCGCTGCCACTGCAGACGGTCGCGTATGGGGCCCAACAGGCAGTCCCCAGCACTTAAGTTTTATTTTACCAGGTCACAAGGTAGTATCGCGAAATCCACACCGTGAGGGTGCGTTGCCAGACGACTTTGAGGAACGCACCGGCTCATCCGTGGCTACGGCGTTGGCGGCTGGTCTAGCAGCACTTATTCTTCACTGCGTCAATCTTGCTGTTGTTCACGGTAAGGAACATCCGTCCACTACGGCTGTTAGCGCCGAAGACCTGGAGCGACTTGCGAATCACGATGATATGTATAATGTGCTTCGTGGCATTGGGTTGGATGAGGGGCAGCAGCGATTTATTGAGGTTTGGCGACGGTTTGATCGTCCGGCGAAGGAGCTCAAGGAGCCGATGAGTGATAGAATGGATGCACTTGGGATTGTGGCTAGACTGGCTCGAGATCTTGTTCCTAGTGGGAGTAGCTAGTCTTGGGCCAGGCTATGTACAGTCGTGAGATATACCATAGTAAAGGCTAGGCAGAACAGACACCAATCGCTGGTCATGCTGTAGGAAGCTGTAACTAATGATATATATCTTCCGCTCAAGTCCGAGGGAGAAGCCATTATTAAACAAGACAACATCGCTTCTGACTACCCAAACAGCGGTCTGATCTAGTAAACGTATAGCTCTTTACTCCTTTCCGACGTAACTGCTATAAATACCTGCAAGCAAAGATCAAAACAAAGTCATACCCCACATTCCACTCGCATATTTGTATTTATGCGTCCGGATCTTACGTCTCCCATCAGGCAACACTTCGACATACTCATTCAGTCCAGGCCTATATCCAAGCTCCTTTTGCTTCTGTTTAGCTATCTTATCTGCTTCCTTCTATGCAGTAGTTGGTGGCCGAGTTGGCAATGGCAGCCCAGATCTGCGAGCGTCCTCGACTGCAAGACAGAAGCCAAGGTCATCTTGTATTTGAAGTAAAGTATCAGCAGATAACGAAGAAATTTGTTTCTGCATGGTAGTCAAGCTCGTAGAGGAGGATGCCGCTGTTGACGGTTTTGTGTAGACGAATTCTGGGAGATCGTCGCGAATGCGCTCGCAGGTCCAGCAATGGCAGTGCTCCTGTATGGGAGATGGGTCATCCATATCGAACAAAATCTTCGCATCCCGTTTCAAGTCCTGCCCCTGCGTTTGCTCTGACTGCATGCCACCAATTTCTTTCAGGAAAGCCTTGTACTGTCTGGGAAAGAGGCGGTGCGTCCTCCAGAAAAGCCTGACTCCGAACGACTGGTGACAAACCATCTCTTCTTCAACTGCATTGGGCTCCCTTAAGTGAAAGTCCAGATACTCCAAACCCGCTCGAATCAGGGACCCTTGCAAGGCAGGTGAGCGTATCCACAGAAGCTTATTAGACTCCTCGATGATATTCTCGTGCCTCTTGACTTCACTGAATAAATCTGTTTCGATACGCACTTTGCCCGCGTCTGCATATGCCGGGGGGGTCTGTAAATACTCAAGAATATCGCATGGCTGAGATGTGATATTGGTGAACAGCTTCTGGGCGGATCGAGGAAGTACAAGCTGCATCTTGTCCATATCGATGACATCCCTGATCGCAGGCCAGGGGAAGCAAATGTTTTTCAAGCGCGTAGCATTGGCACCCTGGGCGTTGCAAGCAGCTTCATAAGCCTCCGGGTTCAGCATAAGTGCGTACCATACGAGCAGTATGTCCAATGGTGGCAGATAGTCCTTTGTGAGCTGAAGAGCAGCACGGGTGCCTCCATGGTGTGAGTAGGCACTCGCATGGTTCAGCAATAGATCACTACCAGACCACCAAGTCGTAAATCGTGTAACTGCGAGTTTTATGAGAAGGTCCCATTTTTGGGATGCGGGAAGCTGCGTTGGCTCCGATGGCGATGCTAGCACTGGACTCTTGGTGTCGTCGTATGCAGGTGGTTGGATGACCTCAATGTTGAGAGCGCCCGCGCTAGCCTTCAGGTTGCGAAAACACTCAAGCAGAGCGAGATGTACAGCTGCATGACTCGCGTCGGGGTACGCCAACAGAGTCTCAATACTTTGCGATTCCGTTTCGCAGGGGATTGAAAACACGTTTGAGAAAACTCTTGGGTCAGGAATGATTGTTTGTTTACCGTCTGGCTGGGAGGGCTTGTATGACGATGGCAATGTCCAGGTGTGCGGGTCCAGATTGGCCGCGTTGTCCACGACCTTTGGGCCGCTGCGAAAGTTTTTAAACAGCGGCATCGAGAAACCGTTGCATCGCGAGATGAAAGGAGAGTTTGATTGATGAGCCACTGAAGATTAGAAGACGAAGCATGCGGTATAAAGAGGGAAATTAATCGTTAGCCTTTCACTCCGCCTTGGAATTCCTTGCGCCTCATCCTGGGGCGCATGACGCTAAGCCACCCAACTCTAAAGCTTAATTCAGATAAGGCTGCGTCGATGACCTTCCATTATGTGAGCTGTGATATAATCCTCAAAGTAGACCTTCTATGCATCATTGCTTTCTGTAAAAAAGGCATGCAGTATCTTTGCAGCTTCCTCCGAATCATCCTTCCCTCGAATCTGATCCAAGGCAACTTGCGTCTGTTCAGGCGTGAAGCCTCGCTCAGGTGTATAGAAGTACTTGATCGTTTCTGTTGAAATCTCCTCGTTGAATTCAAAATGACCTTGAAACGTCAAGACACGTCCTGGTTGAAAAATTCCCTGCACGGCGCAATGTGGCGTGCTTCCTATCGATATCCACGACTCGGGCCATGGTGCTTCAAATCGAACATGATCGCCGTGAGCGAACTGCACCCGTAATCCGTCTCCCTCAGGCAGGCTTAGAATGTGATCGAAATGAGCTGCGAATTTCGGGTTTAGGACAACTTTGTGGATGCCGACTTCATAACCCTTTGGATCTTTCTCGACAATCACTCCGTATTTCTCAAGCAGGGCCTCGGAGATGATCTGGTGCCCGAAGCAGGCTCCAAACATCCGAACATGTTGATGAGTCTGGTAGGTTTTTTGGATGAAAGCTTTCAACCTCGCAATCCACAGATCCTCGTCGTACACACCTTTCACAGAACCTGTGATCAGGAAGGCATCGAAGTCATTTGGATCGGGATATTCGTTTTTGATAATGTCGAATGCAGAAATCTGCAGAACCTTATCAGACCCCAGAGTCTTATTGACAGCTTGCAGCCGATGAGCAAAGATACTGCTATATGTTGGTCCCCAAGTTTCGGCGACCTTTGGCACAACGTAGTCGCAGTCCAAAATGGCGACCCGTACAGGTTGTTGGAGTCGGCTTTCCACGGTCATTTTTTTCTCGGAGACGGTGACAGTCGATATTCTAATATTTGGACTTGGAAAAAGAACAAGAAACTGGATTGCTTGAGCAGGTCCGTTGGAATCCTGCAGATAAGTACTATCTTGTAATGTCCGCCTGATCATGAATTACAACCAACGCACCCCCACTCACCACTTTTACCAAATATGGAAAGTTTTAGAGACTGTTGGTCTGACTAGTACAATCTGATGCTACCATGAAGTGGGTGTTCTCCATCCTTATCGGCTACATGCCGACTTCCGCCGAAGTGCTCGGGGTAACCTCCAACTAACAGATCCAACCTCCATCAACATTGTAGACAGCTCCGGTGACAAAGCTAGCTTCATCACTGAGAAGAAAAACAACAACATTTGCAATTTCATGGGGCTCAGCAGGACGCTTTTGAATCTGCAGCGCAACTTCTGCTTCTACAGCTTCAGCCATTCCCTCACCCTCCATCATGGGTGTTCGTACACTGCCTGTTAACGATAATGGTTGTCAGAAATACGGTAGCTTGACGTGGGACGGCTGTGTGATTTTTCAGCATTGACTGAAACGTACCTGGTGCCACGCAGTTTATGCGAATATTCTCGTTCTCCTTTGCAGCAGATCGAGATATGCCAATGACAGCATGCTTGCTTGCACAATAAACAGAAGCATTAGCAAAGCCAGCTTGGCCATCAACACTTGCTGCTGACACCTGCTCACGCATGAGTTTTCTTATTCCACTAGAAAAGTTGATCGTCACCTACAATGCTTCCTCCAGATTTAATATGACTTAACTCTGCTCTCAAACAATTGAAAACACTGCGAGCATTTACTCCCATGATGAAGTCCCACGTCTCATCAGTTTCATCACGAAGACATGTCCCGTGGGTAAAGGCGCCAGCCATATTGACAGCACCGTCAAGCTTAGCAAAGACGGAAACGGTCTTCTCGATCCATGCATTCACTTCTTGGCTGTCACGCACATCAACTTGGGTGATGATGTGCCCATCACCAGGAAGAGACCTGAGAGCAGCCTCAAGGCCGGCTTTGTTCATGTCGGCGAGCGAGAGTTGGGCACGTCGACTTGCTAGGAGCTTAGCAACCGCAAGGCCAATGCCAGATGCTGCGCCAGTGATCGCGATCTTCATGATTCAGGTTGGATGCTCGATTTCAAATAAAGAATTCTTGATAAATGTACCGTCTTACCGTCGAATGAAGCCATCGTTAGTGGACAGGGACTTTATTTGGCTGATATTAGGCGTGTGTGCTGGAGGAGAACATAGGTTGTAATCTAGATGTGCTATTTGTGACTGACATCTGTAGCCTAGAAATTCTATCACCATGTAGAACTTAGAGCTGAGTTGATGCCATTTAAATAAGTCTTTCATTACCAAGAGTAGGACTGGGGCACAAAATTTACTCGTAGACCTGCCTATTTCCCTGGTATACGTGAAGGAAACAATACATCTAACACTTGACTTCCATGCATCACTACGTGGTATACGCCACAACTCAACCTTTTATCTAATTCGGGTTGCCTCCTTTACACAACGTGATTGTGCATGGCAGGTGTAGCGCTGCATCACTCTCTATCTGGGTCGTTAGGCTCTACATGCCAAATCCGGTTAGACAGTGCAGACTTCTTGAGACGGCACCTTGTGACTCCAATTCTTGGCGCACTTCACGGGAGAAAATGACGATGATTGTAACAATCCAATGGCCACAATTGGAGCAATGAGATTCTATTGATAACGTCCGAAACCAACGTTGCTTGCAAGTGACTTAGGGTAGTCAAGTCAAATAGTGGTATGGTTCGTGGGCCTTTGGAGATATGATAAGATAAGATAACCTCCTGATTCCCAGTCTTTGCAGCATTGGTACTTGGTAATAAAGAAAGCAGATGGGTTTTATCGGGAGTTATCGTTTTTAGAAATACATAAACATTCTATGGTCTACTTATAATTGTTTTCCCTCCCTCAGTCATTGCTCAGGTTGCCCCATCAGCGATTGGATATGTCTGTTTCGAGGCATCTATGTATAAGTCTTCGATATCATGGTGGAACTGCCCATGTACCCGACGGGCCAGCGAAGTCATTATACTCCTGCTCAATAACTCAGGCGTCTTGTGTTTATGCTTCCAATTATGGCTCACAAAAACGCCCTTGCACTCACCATTTCCGTCCAACGTAAACTCATTGCCGTTGGCCTGATTGCACGGTATGTTTTTCACATCATGTGTTCTGTTAAACTCGTATCGAATATAGTAAGAAAAGGCGCTCTGCTCATGTGCCCACTTGTGGTTCCAATGGTTGCAGCCAGGTATGCTCCGTGGGCAATCTTCCCATCGTTGAAACATGTCTTGGGTACGCTGACTTGCTTGCGCGATGACGAAGCCCGTGTTGAGGATGAGGTTTCCTTGGGGATCGTAGTCTTGTTCCCAGTCGAGATCGTAAGCCATTGCGACTAATGTTTCAGGGCGGTAATCCCAGAGGTTCATGAGCCATTCTAGTGGGAGGTCGAGATGTGTGAAGACGGCGTCTGAGTCTAGCGAGATGACGAAGTCATGGGTCTTAAGGGCCTCTTTGGTGATGGCAGGCTTTACCCAAGTTCCGTGTCGATCGGGATAATCGGCTGCACGGACTAGCCGGTAGTCGTAGCCGTGAATCATAGCTAACCCATTAATGTCAGCAGAGCATGATGCACCAGAGTTGATAGACTGTACCATATATATAGTGGTTCAAGTGACCTCCAGTCCGCCCGGGCAGTGTCGTAAAATCCAACGGACATTCATTCAACATTGTGTTCTCGGTTTTACCATCTAGCCGAGTATCAGTATCAACGATAACGACCCTTTTTCCTAATGGCTTCTTCCACCGCACTTGGTCGATTGGTACTTCGAAGCGTTCTCCCTTGTCGGTGACGAATACTCTCTCTGTGATAGGATGCACCAGGGGTTTCCATAACTCCGCCATCACCTTCGGCAGAGCCAAGCTCTCAGTTCCATTGTCATGCTGTTTATATGCTTCCGGTCGAGGTTTCTTATGGCAATTGGCATTGAATGTATCTGTTGTTTGAGGAGGTGGAGCAGATGGAGAGACAGTGGGTTTCCTGTGCAATAAATCGTCGTTAGTATCGGAAGTGGAAGTCTTTGTCGGGCAATTGAGTGGCCAGCGTGTTCTTACAGCGGATAAATCGAAGAGACGGGAAAGCAGAAAAAGACAAGAAACACAGCGAGACTGACAATGGAGCAGATCCATATGGCCCGCCTGGGAGCGTTCAACAATCCCATCTTTACATCATTTTGAGCACCACAGAACTGAAGGCCCATTTTAAAGACAACAAGAAAGAACCAAGAAAATAAACATGAAGTGACGTGACGTGACAACAGCGAGCTCAACGATTTAAAAATGGCAGTTAGACCGGGTCCCGCGGGGCTATAGCATAATTCGAAGCTCTACTGATCTACGAAGCCGCGATGCTACGTCCCTTGCCTGTAAAGTAGGGAGAGCCGAAACTTTGATCTACGTAATCAAGTGGAAGCATCGTTGTCACTCAGATGCTATTTAGCCAATGGGGATGTATCTGTCGTATGATGGTTACGATCCTTAGTGTCTAAGCACAGATTGTTAGCTGGAATAGGCAACCACCGAAGTATACGAGAAGGCTAGTATCCGTTTTCTCGAGAGAGAGAATTGTTCTAGACCTGTCTAATAAGCTTTGGCAATTGGCCTTTAAAATGTTACCTAACGCTAGGTCCACAGCTTGGTTAAGAAGCCGATAAGCGTCAAACAGCCAAAACATGCTAATACCACGCCAGAGCAAGGGGACGCGAGACAGCTTAGGATCTTCTTTTCTGAAGGATCAAAGATTTGGGTGAGTTCAGGATATCGCAGTGATTCTTTAGACCAGTTTATCTTTGTACCTTGATTTAATGATAGAAGTTTCCCTTCCCCAGGAGGTAGGGATAACATGCAGACACATGGAACATACTATGCTGTCTAGGGTTTTTAAACAAGTCTAATTATACTCACAAATCAAACGATCCGCAGGTCATTAATCATCTTGACTTGGTCTTCCTCATTGACGAGATGTCCCTTAAGATGATATTCGTCAACCTGCCACGATCGACAGTAAACAGTGGACCTATGGTCAGTGAAAAAAACGCATCATCATATGAGAATCCCAGTTTATTGGACTCAGCGTTTGATGCAGCTAAGCCTCCCTTTTTACGCGTCAAGGCTGAGGCGCAACGCCGAAGGATTCAGTAGCGTAGTGGGAAAAAGGAAGACCGTCTCATTGCGTTTACGCGCAGGCCAATCAAACACCCCAGCACTGGGCCAACTAAATTTCAGCGTTGACTAAGGTTAAAAGGTTAATGCCCTTGCACTTTAGCTACGACGCGAAGTATGAACTCACTCAGAGGAGTGGTGTGCCACTTCTAATAACAACTAATGAGAATGGCATTTGAGCGCTGATGCTTTTCTATCTAAAATATGGTTTGGAGACTGTTATTTTGAGTTCAGAGACCTGATAGTTGGTGCATTGTACGCCTGGTCTCTATACATCAAGGTCACATCACCTTTACATTAAGGATTGGAATTTATGACAATAAAAGATGCGTCATGAACTTCTGTCGATTCTATGTGCATATTGCCTTCCCAAAGGAAAGACTGATTGGGAAATCTTAGCGTGTTGGTTGATATGTCTCGTTGAAATTTCATAATGATAGGCTTTGGCCATCAATCGATCAATCGTATCATTTCAAAACGTTGTTTCATATCTACTGACAGGGTGTGGTCATCGCATGTAGTTTATGACTCGGCACGAAGAGACACCAGTAATCTAGGTAAGGTATTGGATCCATCGTCTCCGTCATCCCCCAGAAAGTGCCCGTCATCATACCACCAACCGCACCAGGTACGCTAAACATGTGCTCGTCAACGTTCTGGTATAATGTACAGCACTAGAAGTTGTCTTACAACCAACCGATATGTGGCGAGGCTGGAATACCCGCGGCCTTGTGTTACCATATCTACTGTCAATATTCATCAGAGATAGCGTCGGCAACAGGTTTACGCTTTCACCAAGATCACCTACTATGAAGATCATATTTTCGAAGACAAACTTGGCTCTTGAACCTTTCTTGAAGCCAAACTATGGAGAAGGACACTACAATGGGACTGGTGTGCTCTTGCGTCTGGTAATAATAAATGTCGGGACATTCTTTCCATAGGTACAGAAGAAAACTTGGAGGTAACTGTAGCAACTCGCCGTACCTAAGCTACCTATCAAATACCCAATACTTGAGGCAGGTATAGCATAGCCTGTTTATTATTGCAATGTAGAATGTAGCTCTCTTTTACCCTCATCATCATCATCATCATCATCATCATATTACGCTTGGGAGTTTTGCTTTTTGGTTTTCTTTTTGGATTTTATTATCAAGTTAATTACTTGATAATTATAAGTATCCTCCTCTTCTTGGCACTATATCAATACCATCGCCATGAACGCCGCCGACCAAGCCCACTTGGCTGCCATGGGGCTAGCCACCCCTCTCCCTACCCCTACCCCTGTCTCTCGTCGACAGGAGATCCGCGACAGAGCTGCGGCTCTCAGGCCGCATATGATGCGGCGTTCCGTGACCTAGGCCGAATACAAACGCCGGCATGATGGGATGAGAGTTGCGGGAAGACGCAGGTTCGGGGAGGCCAGGCGTCAACACAAGTTGATGCAGAGATGGCAGAACGAAGAGGCACTGAGATACCGGCAAAGGGTCTCGGCATTGGCCAATGGCCACAACCCTGTTTGGGCCTTTAGGCTTCATCTACAGTGGTTGCCCGGCTTCCTGGCAAGTGGGAATATCCCACTGCAGGAGCGCAAGATAGTGGCTGACATTGCCGAAGAGACGGCCCATTTCGCTATCGAGTAAGTTCTTGTCCTTTACATCCCATTTGAAAAGTTTGACAGCTTACTAATATTACCGAAGGCAAGCAGAGAGGCATAATCGCCTTCTCCGGAAATGGGTATGGGGTTACAATACCCTTGGTGACCGACAAAGGCATGAGCGCTTCGCTCATTCGGCACACCGTGCCGCTATCAAATGGGTGGATATAGCTGACAAGTGGTCCCCTTCTCTCTAGAGTCTCGACCCGACTGGTGGTGTTGGAGATATGCTGTGCCCGCGTCACCCACTAGGACACAAGTGGGTGTTATATAATTACTTATACGAAGGACAACGTAAGGAACCCTTGACTCAATCGACTGGTGACCTTGTTCTTTCAAGGTCTTGAGGCCCGCCTGTGGACGGCTCCCTTTTTAGAACTCGGTTCACCACTACGATCCGGTCATGTAAGCGAAGGAAAACGCAAGGAACCCCTGACTATTCGGACAATTTTCGATCTCACAAGGTCTTGAGGCCCGCCGATGGACGGCTCCCTTCCGAGACGAACTTTGGACAATGTCAGGAGGCGAAGGACAACGCAAGGAACCCGAGGAAAAGATCACTCGTAACATACTGCGAAGGAAAACGTACAAAACCCACGAGACGAGGTCGCATCCAGTGTTGTTTCAAGGTCTCGAGGCCCGCTGATGGACGGCTCCCTTAGCACCTGGATCGATGGCAACGACCAAGTCAAACGTCGACGATGAGTTCGCACTTCTACGTAGTGTCGGCGATCAACTCCTTCATTTCAAGGAGGCCAAGACGAACTCGACCTACCTAATATATATGGAACGGCTGATGATATATCCCTGAATTGTGTATTCACAATGCCTTTTTGGGTTGATGAACCTGGCAATGTGTTCCTTACCTCACCTTATACGCCGTCTACCACCTCTCCCATAAAGTATCTTAGGTATATACATGTCAGCACCGCAAAAAGGACAACTCAACCCTTTCAATCTCCCGTCTCAGAGAAAAGGAAGGCTTGGAACCTACACAATAGTTCAAGTACCCAAGCTTCAAACCAGTGCCGTCTACTTCTTATCGGCCACAACCAGACTGCTGAGCTCTCAGGTCAACATGAAAGTCACCAACTTCAAGACCACCAAATATAAACATCCACATCAAGACCATCAAACATCAAGACCATCAAACATCAAGACCATCAAACATCAAGACCATCAAACATCAAGACCATCAAACATCAAGACCATCAAACATCAAGACCATCAAACATCAAGACCATCAAACATCAAGACCATCAAACATCAAGACCATCAAACATCAAGACCATCAAACATCAAGACCATCAAACATCAAGACCATCAAACATCAAGACCATCAAACATCAAGACCATCAAACATCAAGACCATCAAACATCAAGACCATCAAACATCAAGACCATCAAACATCAAGACCATCACCAATGCCATCAGCAAGATCAATAATCTATCAATCAAGATAACAGCTTGTCACCCCATTAACCCACCGGATGCCGAGTGTCGAGTACCGAGCGGTGGGCCTCAACATGCCTGAAGAGAAACCTTCAAACACAGCATTGAGACACTGATACTTTTTCTTTTCAGCTGGCTGCTACTATCTAGTTACTTGTCATTACCCTAGAAGTTCACTATATGCCACAATAACAACCCATCTGACCGAGGAGGAGCATCCCAGGACAGCCCCTTTCGAAGAGCGACGAACCCCCTGCATCAACATACCGAAACTACACACAGCCGATGGCCGCCGAAGACTCCACTCCTCAGGCTAAGCACCAGTCTGCAGGGCCGGGTCGTTCGTCGGTGGAAGCCATGCTGAATTGTAGCAGGACAGTTGCAGTTGGGCAAGCAACACTCAGTTCCAGAGAGTTGGATGGAGTCTTTGACATAATCTTATACACATTGGCACTTCCTAGTGTAAATGTATACATGCCACCGGTGTTCCTGGTTTTCCCGGCCGTGAGGGTAAGTTCAACCAATCTCGATATCTTCGAAGAGTCTCTAACAGTCTCTGAGCCCTTCCTCCTGGCTTTCCTGGAAACTTCCCTCCTCCAGCTGGTTTCACTGAAGGCGCTCAACTCCCCTAAACTCCTCCTCCTGGCTTTCTTGGAAGCTTCTATCCTCAAGCTGGTTTTCCTGGAGGCGCTGAATTCCCTCCTCCCGGGTTCAACCCTGGAGGCCTTGTCTGTTGGGCTGAATACTAAAATGAGATTTAGCTGGAGAACTCAACTAACAACCCATCTACGATGCCACGAGTCATCATGTTTCTGTTTCTCAGTCCGTTTTCAACGTCACTTCTATCTTTTTCCCCTTTCCGCTTGGGCAGAGAGCAGTTGGGCCTGCTGTGATAAAAGGATTGTCAACTCTTGCAACCATAATCAACGCCTTCGGTCTAGTCGGGTGCTCAATCATCAGTACTGCAACAACCTCATATGTTAGTGAGCCTTAGGATCAGGCAACTGCGTTGGTATCGTTCCACACCTTGTACAGGAAACTTCGTGTTCGAAGAATTCGACCTGGCCCCCAATATCAATTGGCTTTTTCGAGGATGTTCCCACATACCGAGGCCCACGCCGGCCAAGATGGGTCGACTAGACTAGACCGGAATCTTGCTTTCTTACAGTACAGACCATAATTGAAACCAGAATTCTTGGTAGTAGGAGGATATGGAGTTAGGTTCTGAGTCCCTTATCACCAAGATTGGATTACACTTCAACTTATCACGTCTACGTGGCGGCTCGATCACTACTGTGCAGGTCGTGTCCCGCTAGTGCTCACAAAACATCTCTGTCAAAGTCGCCGACGGTCTTCGAGCTTCAACCACTCGTCCCGTAGCTCGGACACCCGACTTTATCGAAGCGGCGATACTTATGGATAGCTATCAGGTCTCTGAACTCAAGATAGCTATCTCAAAACTAAGTTTCAGGGAGCATACCATCGACTGACATAACGGCCTCAAGTTTCGTGTATTCTTGGCAGATAGTGAAAGATGTGGAAATCGCCGAGAAAATGGCTGGGTCGCTTGCCCGAGAAAGAATAGATCTGCAGTGTTTCTGGAGATGAACAGTGGCAGAATGAAGGTCTATGAAACGATTCCAAGCTCAGTCAGTACCAGCAACGTCCAAGGATCTCCCTTCTCTATCAATAGGGCACTCATGGTAGTGGTAAAGAAGCCGCATCACATCAGCCGCATGAAGCTACTGCATCACCGCCTCCGACGAAGAGGAAAACACCTGAGAACAAGACCCAGTGGACTGGATTAGGACTAATCGCTAGTACCCGCCATGTTCCATGCAATGAGGGAAGCAAAAACTCTGGTGCTTCTAATAATTGGCACTCGTCTTCTGTCTATGCGCTCAGCCAGCAGGTCATAGGGTGCAGTACACAATAGGCCTATTTAATTTCCCAAGATAAGCCTCTCCTCTCAGCCTATTTGATGATTGTGTCGGATGGATATAGAGAACGCCAAATACATTCCCAAACGGATACGGCAACTGAACGCCTCCAGGGAGACAGGAGGTGGGATTTGTAGCTCATGACAAGACGACGCTAACCAATGACATTGTCGAAACAGCGTTATGACGGATTGCTCCAGGGTAGGCAGCGGTTAGCTGGCAATAGAACACACAATCCCGACCCACACCTCCAACTCACATTTAACCTTGCAACCGGCTTCCCCAACCCCCTCCTCAATGTTGGGCTGATATTTCACAACAACCTGAGGCGATGCATGATCAGCATTTAAACTTGGCATCCTAGGACCATGTCAGCTCACTAACTCCAGTTGTATCTAGCCTGATCCGATATGAACCCCGTAACCGGGAAGCAAGAACTCTCGTGAGACCTTGGACAATCGCGTCACCAAAGATATCATTCACTAACACTAACCCCTAGTTGCAAACGTTGCCGATACCGAAAGGTAAGTTGACGTCGGCATATCCCGATGGAATTTGGAATTGCGTAAGTTTGACAGCGCTAGTTGAGATGCACACGGACAGTCCCATGCACCAATTGTGCAACAGCGGGTGCAGGCTGCGAGTATGAAAAGATCGACAAGAGACGGAACCCACCATCTTCAGAGTACACGATTGGTCTGAGAAATAGAGTTGCGTCATTAGAGGCCTTCATCCAGGAGTTGAGAGAAGCTTCTCCCGCTCGCCGAGATGAAATGCTTGGGCCCGCGGCTTATATACAGGGCGCATCAAATATTTCTATCGCAGGGCCGTCTCAGACTATCCAAACTGATACTACAGCTCGCGCACGCTTGAAACCAGATGCAGAAGGATCACTAGTTTACCATGGAGCGACCAGCATCTTCAACAGTGATCTTCTCTCCACAAGCGAGAGCTATCCAAGCCCGACGCAGAGTCTGTACGCAGAATCCAACTTTGACCATGTTATGGATCACTTCGGCATCAAGCTGGAGGATGACACAGTTTTCAAAGCACTACAGCAGTTCTTTCGCTGGCAGTATCCCCACTTTATGTTCGTTTACCGCGAGGCGTTTTTAAGAGACCATTTTGGTGAGAGAAAAGGCTGCAAGTACTGGTCATCTTCACTTCTACTATCTATATGCGCATTGGGCCTCCTTATGTCAGATACCGAAATGGAGCGGAGCCTGACTGAGCAGTTCTTCCAAGCGGCAGAGAGTATCGTGATGGTATCAGGCCTAAGCCGTCCTTCGATCCCCACAGTCCAGTCATTTTTATGCTTGGCATTCTTTGAAATCGGCCGAGGGAACGTATCAAAGGGATGGGCTTTCTCAGGTATAATATACTGAATGCTCGTATGAAATGTTGATTTTAATGATAGACAGGTATTGCATTCCGTATGGCCCAAGACTTGGGCTTTCAAAGCGATCCCATGAACTGGCTGCCGCATGACTCCACCATTATCTCAAGCGAGGATATTGAGATCCGCCGCAGAATCTATTGGGGCTCTTACATATCAGATAAGCTGATCAGCTTGATACTCGGGAGGCCGGTACAGTTGGCCTATGATAGCGCTGAAGTCGACCTGTTAGAATTCATAACGTAAGGCAGTCTCCATTCCCATATTTCAAACCAACTAACGAAGTCAGTGACGGCCCTGGAATGGAATATTGGCGACCCGTTGGTTTCGGCGATGACCCGGAAGAGCTTCGAGTCTTGTCAAATATACCATATCTCAAAGAGCAGATTCGTCTGTACAGAATTGTTGAGAAGATGATGACGACAGTATTTTCTCCACGGACGCCTCGAACGCAGACAGACGTCTTCACACGACAGACTCTGCTTGATAACTTGAATCTTGAGCTTCTGCAGTGGAGGGACGCACTGCCAGCTTTTGCCAAGTGGAATAAATGGTCGACGGGTGTGACAATAACACCCGCGGTGGCCACACTCCAGTAGGCCTCCAACGCACAAGAGGAAATTGCGTAACTAACCGTTATCATGAAGCCTTCTTTATAGCAGTATTCGTATTGCCTTGAACTACGAGTCGGCCACCACTAGTAACGTTGTCTCGGCTCGAGAAGCTGCACTTCTGTCTTGCACCACCGCAGCTCAAGATATTCTTGCTCTGGTTCGGATTTACAGAATGCAGTATGGGCTTCGCCATGCACCACTCATATTGATTTACGCATCCATACAAGCCTCGAGATCAATCGAGAAGTTTGGTATTCCGGAGGAACAAAGCTACTTGGTCAGTTGCTTGGCTGAGTGCGCACACACTTGGAGCATTGCTGGTCAAGTACAAGGTCCGATGCCTGCAGTGAATTTTGACGCGTATCAAGACCTGGTATAAGAGTCCGGCGGTTAAGTAATACATCCATCAAATATTATATGTATATCACCGCTAGTTTTCTACTTAGGTGACCGTCATACTTCGTGATTAGGCCTAGAGCCTCTCTCCCTCCTCTAACTCGTGAATCAACTCCAGAGGTCCCCTGGGAACAATATCCGGGCCAGTGATACCAAGAACCCTTCGTCTAGCATTCGCATAACCAGTCTTGTACTTCTCGAGCCAAGTCTCAGAAGTCTTTCGAAACGCGCCATGAGTTCTGTAGCTATTGTCCCAGTAAAGCCTCCTCAGCCAAAGATGCAAGTTCGGATAGTGATCCCTGATGGTTCCAAGGTTGCACATGAAAATAGGGACATACCCAACGTCAAAACGGAGAATAGTTGGGAACAAACGGATGTCAGCCTCGGTGATGTGCTTGCCCAGAAGAAAGGGGCCTTCGTCAAGGATTCTCTCCAGTCGATCGAGTGACTTGAAAACCTTTTCAACGTTTTCTTCATATGCAGCTTGAGTCATAGCGAAGCCACTCTTGTAGACACCATTATTGACAGTATGATAAACCCATTCATTGATTTCATCAATCTTTTCGCGCAAGCCATCGGGGTAGAAACCACCTCCAGGTCTGTTGATTTCACGATCTTCATCAGGAAGAAGGTGGTCGAACTCCGTGT